GCTGAGCTCTTAGTCATTCCCTGTCAACAAAAACTAATCATCAGAGATAATAACAGATTGTTTCAACTATCAAAATATACTTAAATGTGCTATTATCTATTACAGTTAGTCCCTGACTTACCACTGTTTGTTTAGCAACTGTTTAAAGTTATAATAACACTGAAAACAGTGGCTTACAATCAGTCCTTGTAGCAATAGCACTTAGACTTACAGTGCTTTACAGCCCTCTCTAAGCAGTTTACAGTGTCAGCATATTGCCCCGAACAATCTGGGTCCTCATTTTACCCACCTCGGAAGGATGGAAGGCTGAGTCAACCTTGAGCCGCTCAGAATTGAACTCCTGGAGTGAGCAATGAGTTAGCCTTGCACTACTGCATTCTAATCACTGTGTGTTGTGGCCCATACGTGGCCTGTGCAGCTAGTAGCTGATTCAGATAGCGAGGAGGCTGGTGTGCTGCGCCAGCAGCCTGTGCAGCTGGCACTAGAGTCAGACAATGAGGAGGCTGAAGAAGATGTGGTGCCAGAGGCGGGGATTCAGCCAGGGCCTTCAGAACCTCCAGAAGCTCCCTTAAGTGAAGAGGATGAAGAGGAGGAGCCTCTTCTCAATGCACGGGCGTGCAGAGCTGCCAAAAGGCAGGAGTGGCTCCTCAGGAGGAGGTCTCCTTGAGAGTAAGACTTGGGGCTAATTGGCCACTCCCTTAGCCTATTTAAGGAGGAATGCCAACTGAAGCAATTTGCAGGGAACAACTTAGTTCACATACCTTCGTGTCTTGTCTTGCTTATCTTATCAGCTTCCTGCAAATTGCTTCTGGGCATTCTGCCAACCATGCAGTTATTATTCAGTTATTATCTTTGAATTCTTGGCGGCTGTTAATGCAGTTAATTAACAGCCATTGTTGTAAAATACTGGTTTATTTAGTAAACTAAGGTTTGTACAGACTTAGTGTGTGCTGCGTTCTTTGGGTCCGTAGCTGGGGCAGAACACTGTGCCACCATGAATCTTGTACTTTTGATCGTCACAACATCTGCATTATGACATGATCAAAATTTGGGAGGCTTGGCAACTAGCATGTATGTACGAAAGATGAAGCATCACGAGATCACGTGACTACAATTTCTGATCTTCCCAGACAGCTTCCAACAAGCGACGTAAATGGGGGAAGCTGGATACACTTAACAACTGTATGATTCATTTAAAATTGCAGTGACTTGTTTAATAACTGTGGCCAAAAAAAATAATAATCATAAAATCGGGTGTGAATTATTAACAACCACCTTACTCTGCAATAGAAATTCTGGTCCCAGTTGTGGTTTTAATTCAAGGACTTCCTGTACTGGGGTGGTTTTAAAAAGTGAAAAATTGGAAAGTGATCCAGGACAGGGCACAATCTTGAATTTCAGCAGTTGGTTGTCTGATCGGTATCAGGGCAAAAGGCACCAGATTTATTTACAGGATTCTAATTTTCCTTACCTGCCACAGCCTCCCCTGGGGGACCAGGGCATGGGAGTTGCACACATAGCACTACTTGTGTATTTTCTAAGTCCCAGGACTTAATGTGCTGTGACCAAATCAAGATGTATGAATGGTTGGTTTTGCAAGCTATTGAGATTGCTTTCTTCAACGTTCATTTCAGGTTATGAGAATGCATCATAGCGACAGGCATTAAATACTCTGCTATCTCCATTCAGTTGTCCAGACTCCACCCCACAAGGGATTATACGGGGTCATTAAAAGATGATGATGATTGTGGGGCATCACAGATTTCATTGGATCTTCTATTTTAAGTTCAGTCTCATCAACTGTGTGCTTTAAGAGAAGATTCGTTTCAACAGCAATAAAGGCTTGCATGTTCATTTCTTGTGCAAAAGAGTTACTGTTACGATGGCTTCTTTCCTGCTTTTTCAGAAATGCATTAAGTCCTGGGATAGTTCTGCAGCTTGCATTATTCACGACACGTTTTGTTTTGCTTTCAGGGAGAGGCTGAGATCGTCCCTTACGTGCCAAAGAATGTAATCTCGCAGCTGCCTCGTTTGTCAAGCTGCATTTTCTTTCTCTCCTCTTCCTATTCTTAGAGCCCAGAGGCAGTTTTGTCTAACAAAAATTAAGTTAGCAGATTTCTGCACTTCTAGATGATTGAGTTTTGCCTGCACAAGAGAAGCTGTCTGGTTCTTTTCTCACATATGGGGCAAATCAGTCTCTCTCTGAGCTCAGCCTTTTAAGACAGTAACCAGATCTGCAGCCGAGAGCCAGTTTCGCTGAAGACACTGGCAGGCTCCTTCTGGTGCACCAAGTGCCGCAGGAATTGACAAGCCCTGACTTCCAGGATGCGTTTCATCCAAACCCCCCCCCCCCATTTCTGTGGATTCCTTCAGAACCTAAGAAATTGTAACATGTGTCAGCAATAAACCACTGAGAAACAAGGTCCGATTTCCAATTGTTTGGGGAAAAGAAGAAAAGGATACATCTATTTCTTTAGGGTTTCCCCCCCCCCTTCTGTTCAATCATGTCTGATTTTGAGAGGCTTGGACAAGTCCCTGCAGTTTTCTTGGCAAGATTTTCAGAAGAGGTTTGCCATTGCCTCTTTTCTAGGGCTGAAAGAAACTGACTGGCCCAAGATCACCCAGCTGGCTTTGTGCCTAAGGTGGGACTAGAATTCAAAGACTTCCAAATTCTTGCCTGATGCCCTAACCACTATTGGTCCTAAAGTATTAACAAAAAGAAAGAAAAAATGAAAATGAAACAAATTTGTTGCTTGCCCCAAAGTTCTAACATTCGCCTTTTGGAGCCCTGATCATTTAGTGATGTTGTCAGCATAACCTTTAGCAGCCCACCAAATGAATACATAAGAGAGTCTTTTGACTGCCATCAGATAACATGACATCGTGTACATAGATCAGTACCTTAGTAACTTTAAGCTGTGTGAATTGCAACTCCCAAAATTCCTCAGCCACCACTGCAAATTGAATTGAGAGTGACTGTCCAAGGTCACCCAGTGAGTTTCCACAGTGGATTAGTAACTTATAATACTTGAGAATGTTTAATGCAATTAAAGGAGTCATTAAGGAGCTAGAGGTAGGTTTCTTTCCTTCTTCTTTGTCCAGGTGATCTTGAACCCAATCATTGTGCAGCTCTAAGCTTTTTCAGAGAGTGGTCCAAATGAGATGAGAAATTATTTGTATCAAATGTGCATTTTTAATTAACTAGGGATAATTTAATTAAATTGGGCCATGTTAGGTGTAGAGAGAAAGTAACCAACCCCCCCCCATTCTTATTAATGATTGAAGGACTATGATATCTGGAGTTGGCAAAAGGCCATAAGAAAAGGATTATTTCAACAGTGAAGTAGTGCTGAAGTATACTCTGACAAAGGCAATTTTAGGCTGTAGCAACTCCGTTTCAAATAACCGTGACAGTTTATTCTATCTTGATGAAACCCTGCTTTGAGTACTATGATCAGTTCTGGATATTATGCCTTAAGAAGGATTCAGACAAACTAGAATATTCATTCCAGAATAGAGAACCTGGAAAGGTGTTTTAAGTTACAGGAAGGCAAATTCCAGTTGAATAAAGATAACATTTCCAAGCATTTAAGAGCAATTTGACAATGGAACTGATTGAAAGACATGGTGGAGTCTCCTGCATTCCTGTTCAAGCAGAGGCTGGAATGGCCTTTGGCCATGCTTTAATTTGGATTCCTGCTCAGAGCAGTGAGTCAGCCTCAGTTATCTAAGTCAGTGGTCCCCAACCTTTTTATCGCCGCGGCCCGCTGAGCGCACGCAGGGGTGGGGGCACGGCCCAGGAGCTTTTGCGCACGGCCCATTGCGCACAGCCCAGGAGCCTTTGCGCTGCAGCATTCATGTCCCCCGGCCGCTGCGCGGCCCGGTGCCAGGTACTCCACGGCCCGGCACCGGTCCGCGGACCGGGGGTTGGGGACCACTGATCTAAGTGGTCCTTTTAACTCCACAATTCTAGAATTACTTACAGATCTAAGGATGACCAGATTTGTTTTGATGTTTTTATTTCAAAATGCCATTGCCCAGCCTGTAAAGTTTTGAATCTCACCAGGCTCAAGGTTGACTTAGCCTTCCATCCTTCTGAGGTCAGTAAAATGAGGACCCAGATTGTTGGGGGAGGGCAATATGCTGACTCTGTAAACCGCTTAGAGAGGGCTGTAAAGCACTGTGAAGTGATATATAAGTCTAAGTGCTATTGCTATTGCCATTTCATTCTATGTTGTGCACAGTAAGTTTTTATGTAAGTTTTATGACTTAGAATGTGACATCCAAAAATGTCACATTCTAAGAACTGTCACACTGGCTTTTTTTGAAACTGGAAACCTAGGTTACAAGAAACTTACGTTACAATGACTTGAAATTGCAACAATTTCATTTTGGATGGCATGATAACCTAGAAAGCATGCCACAAGCTATATGCTGGTGTTGGGGTGTGTCTGTGCATGTGTCAAAATTGCAGTGTCTGAAACTTAGCTTTGTAGCTTAATTAGTCCCACAAACATCTGCTACTAACCAGAACGACAAAACAAAAGCCAAATGATATTACAACACACATTTTCTCACTTGACCCTCCCTGCAAACACCTATGGCTAGTAATTGGACAAAGCTGGAGTGTTTGTGACTGTAGCAGAATGAGGCAACCAGAACCGGAAAAGCAACGATTTGGATCTTGTACTTTCCCAGAGCAGCCTTTCCTGACTTTACACCCATTTAGCTCTGCTGTGATTGCATCTTCCAAAAATGCTGAAGGGTAATAGGCTGGATAAACCTGCTATGGCGTTTGCACACACTACACACAACTCAGCACATGATATACCAGAGGGAATTTTCATAAGACTCAATGGCTGACTCACCCAAGAATAATGAAGCTGCTGCCACCCGTCAATATCTATCTGCCTAATTCTTAAACTGAGTTATGGATTTGATTTAAGACTTTTTTTTCCTGTGACTCCTCTTATAAAGTACAAAAACCATTTTGTTTTGTTTTGATTTTTTTTTTTAAAAAAAGGAATTTATTGTGGTTATTTTCACCTACTGCTGGACAAGTGTACAAATGTCATTCATTTACATACCAATGTGTTGAGCATTAAATTTATAATCCATCCCTGGTTTTAACATTATCACTGTCCTTTTTAGTGTGCAGGTGGGTGAGAAAAAAATTATTAAATCATATTCACAGAATATACAATCGTGCAATCAAGAAGTCACCAGCTCTAAGCCAGCGGTATAGACACCGTCCCATTCGCTCTACTCCTACTCCTGAAGTGAACGTTTGAATCAGTAACATCTTCAGCATGCTCTTCACTTTTCTTCTCTTTTAAATTGTTGATGAATCTCAGTGTAATTTCATCCCATTCCTCAGGAAGAAGCATTAACAGGAACCCAAGGCAGATGAAGATGGTGGCTCCCAATCTGACAACACTAAAAATCACCTCACGTTTGAGGAGATCAACAGCTGCCAGGGGGGAAAATGAAAAGAGACTGAATCAGAATAGCCTTCCTCCATTTGTCAACCCAATTATGGGGAAGGGAGACAACAGGGGCAACCATTTTAATAATTTTTCAGTGTCAAATGTTTCCAACCTAGTTATGTTATTTTTGGATGGTGTCCACAATTTTTGCTGGACACCATCAATCAGCAGAAAAACAGACTGCATGGCTGCCCTCCCTGAATGTAAGGGTTTCCCCAAGAATTGGAATTCAGCAGAAGAATCTTTCACTGACTTTTGGGTCCCTAATTCAGTTTGTTAAAACAACTCTTTTCACTCTCTCACACTGAATCTGTAGTATAGGTATCATCAATTTTGTTCACCTGAAATCACAGCAATGATAGAATATGACAGGATAAAATATGGAGTGCCCAGGAATTACTAGTTGGAATTAGGATAAAACTCTGCCTGTCTCACAGAAACCTGTTCTTCCCACCAGCTGATTTGGGATGACCACTGTAGAACATTCATAGGCATTCTGACTTCTTGGAGCTCCAGCATGTGAAAATTAGGAGACAGCTTAATAGCTGAGCAGGCTATGAAAATCAATTTGGCTGAGGAACAGGCAAAACACATCTCGGCCAGTGCCTAAGGTGATGAGAGGCTGTTACATCTTCCAAGAACTTTAGAGGCTAATGGGCCATGGATCAAAGTCAAAGAAGCAAACAGCCACATGCATTTAATGTAGTGCTTGGGAGTAATTAGTTAAAGCTCAGTTTCTGTCTCCACTAGAATTTGCATATATGCTGAAGAGGTGCATATCTAGTTAAATTCACTCGTAGCATCTCTCAGCAGGTTCTCTGCTTGTCCTGATTAATCTAGATTCCTTTTGCACTAGGATGGCAATCTGTGCTATTCCTTGGGAATTTTTTTTTATGAAGAATCTAGTGTTTCCTCTGAAGAAGTACTGGAGATCTATTCCAGCAATACAGAAGACACTAATAAATGAATTTATCAGTATACATTTTTTTTTAAAAAAACCCATTGCAATCCATCATTTGTACCTGCATTTCCAGGAACACTGAGCACTGTCCCAATAGATATTAAGATTGGATATGTAAGCACAACACCAACATTCACCAAAATGTTGAAAGCTATGAAAGAAAAAAGAAAAGGAGAAAGTAAAGATGTCTCTCTCACACAGTAACGAGATCTCAACCTGCAAGGTTGAAATTAACTCATTTAAATCCCAATAAACTTATCCAAACCATCCTCTTTTGGTAGTACCCAGCATTTGATCTTCAGATATATGTACTGTATATATGTATATATATATATATATATATGTGTGTGTGTGTGTGTGTGTGTGTATTACAAAATGCTGAATTGTCATAATACTACTGAATTTGTAACTTCTAAGTAAAAAAGTGGTTTTTAGTACTAAACAGGAGAAACTATTGACTGGAGGTGGTTGGTGCACTGCTTCTGTTTCCATGGTGAACTGTATTTTGGGGTGTAGGCTGTTGAGGTGTGTGAGGAAGTTGTCCAGTTTTTCTTTCCTGTGTGGCCAGATTATGAAGGTGTCGTCTACGTATCTGAGCCAGAGTTTGGGTTTGTGATCCGATTTTTCTAGAGCTTGGGTTTCAAGTGTTCCATGTATTTGCTTCCATACATGAAGCAAACTGACACCCACCATGAAGATGTGGCACGACCACGAACGCGAAGCCAAACAGCAATACAGCTCACCAGTTCAAATACCCGTGCAACTCAGACTAACACGAGCACAACCAAGCCCCCACCTAAACAGAACACACCCCCATCCAATCAGAGCACAGCCAATCCTCCATCCAATCAGAGCACAGCCAAACCCCCAACCAATCAGAACACACCTCCACCCAATCAGAACACAGTCAAACTCCCACCCAATCAGTTCACACCCCCACTAGCAGTTAAAAGGAAGAAACAGCTGCGATCTCACATTGCTCCTAGAAGCACGAAGCCGAAAACACCAGCCTGAAGATGACGAATGAGACTTCGTTGAAACGTCGCCAAGACACTTCCAATTTTACGCGGGAGAAAACCCGAATAACCAAGGGTTTGGAGGGGGAGAGGTGGGATGCCTTCTCTCTTAGTGCACCAACCACCTCCAATCAATAGTTTCTCCTGTTTAGTACTAAAATGACATTTTTTTACTGTTTTATTTTGCTGTAACCTGCTCAGAGGCATCTTGAATCATGAGATAGACAGTAAATAAATTTGATAAACAAATAAACTTTCGTCCTCTAAAATTCCCTCCTATTTGAAAAGAAGTCCAGAAATGTATGTCGTTGCATTTAATGAAAAGGCCAGATTGTCTTATAAACCGGCAAAGAGTAAACTGAAATGATCCAAAGATTCTGCTGCAAATAAAGTTGAAAGAAGCACTGGGATACTGAAACATTTGCTCAGACACGTACCCAGCCAGAGGCCTGCGATTCCACACAGAAAGCCCCACGGCACAGCTGAAAAAGGTGACCAGTATTCCACTTTGGTAAAGTACAAAATGATGGGAGTGATGGAAAGGAAAATCAAGTTGAAGAAGCCAAGAGTAGAGATGAAGTGAGCAGCTTCACCGAAGTTGGCAGTTCCAAGAAACATCTTAAACAAAACCTAAAAAGGAGAAAGGAGAAAAAACGAGCATACCATGAGGTGTCTATGGAGATTCTCAGTCATCCAGGTCATAGTTGTCCCAAAGGTGCTTTTTCAAGAGGCAACTGGACTTTCTGGTTTTTCTTTCTCTTGAAAAAGCACCCTTGGGACCATACCATGAGGTATATGCAGAAATGCTCTCAGTGGAACCATATGACAGGCATCCATTGTTGGAAAGTCCACTTTGACTAAGACTTTCTGTGTCCCTCTGGATTGGTTCGATTTACTAAAACTGGTCTTCAGATACATCTTTGGCCCTGCACTTTCTCACTTGTTTCCACAATGATGAATCACTGGATCTTAGGGGATTAAGAAAAGTGTGTGTTTAGGTATGTCATACTGAAGTCCAGGGTTCACAGATCACAGATCTGTTCACAGATCATTCCTATCACCCATCTCCTCCCACTTATGACTGTATGACTGTAACTTTGTTGCTGGTATCCTTAAGCTTTATATTGACTGTTTCCCTATGACTATCATTAAGTGTTGTACCTTATGACTCTTGACGAATGTATCTTTTCTTTTATGTACTCCGAGAGCGTATGCACCAAGACAAATTCCTTGTGTGTCCAATTACACTTGGCCAATAAAGAATTCTATTCTATTCTATTCTATTCTATTCTATTCTATTCTATTCTATTCTATTCTATTCTATTCTATTCTATTCTATTCTATTCTATCCTAACCTATCCTATCCTATCCTATCCTATCCTATTCACTTGCCTGAGACAAAGCCAAGATGAAAGTAACTGAATTACTTTTATCATCTCCAACCTGGTACCAAAGACTTTGCCAGCTTGGAGTCATTGAAGATGTAGTCCAAACCACCTTGAAAACCCAGCAAGGGCCTGCTAAAGAATTATGTGGCATGCGCATAACAATGCCAAAACAATGTTTTCTCCAACCACCTCAACTTGAAGTGAGTTGTCCTCATCGAAACTGGTCACTGGGGTAATTAAATCTTTAGTATATCAATTAAATGTGCTTATATATAGCATCTAGTTTGGGCCTCAGGGTTGGCAACAGCCAAGAGCGTCTCTTATGCAGTTTATTAAGCTGGCGATGGGCCTACTGAAATGTGATCAACACATGGTGCTATATTATTTATATTTACATCCTTCTGTCTCTAAGAGGGCTGAAGGTTTGATTTGGTGTATTATCTTTACTGATGTAGAGCACTCTGGGCTGTGTGCAGAAGGGACACATATACAGTCAATTCGTCAGAAGAGTAGGATTTTGGCAACTGTTATTTATAGCTTGCTAATCTCAATGATTGCTCACTGCCGAGTGCTTTTCATGAGCTGCCTCTTAGAAGCCTTCTGAATTTTCAAATGGTGTAAGATTGTGGCAGGACTGTGGAGTCCTTGGTGTTCTCTGAACTTGGTCATTTGTGGACATTTTATTACCAGACCAGGCAAGGGTGGGCTTCAAAAATTTTAGCAAGGGGTTCTCTGCCCAGTTGCTGGGTGGGCGTGGCCACGCCCACCATGGCCTCCTGCATCACAGCGGGGGGGGGACGTTTTTGCCCTCTCCGGGCTCTGGAGGCTTTCCTCCCAGGCTCCGGAGTCCCTCTGGAGGCTGGAAACGGACCCGTTTCCGGCCTTACCAAGCTTCCGGTAGACCCAGTTTTCACCCTCCCCAAGCCTCCGCACACGCCCTGCACTTACCTGCATCCAAAACAGGCCCTGTGGGGACTCCTGGGAGGGGTGGGGTGGGTGGGGCCAGCCAGGAGTGGGACTTGGGGGTTCTCCGAACTGCACAGAATCTTAGCTAGAGGTTCTCCCGAACCCCTGCGAACCCCCAGCAGCCCACCCTTGAGACCAGGTACTAGTGCTAAAAGGGAGTGGGGTTTGTTCTCTGTTTATGTACAGGAGCTTGCCCTGCCAGTGTTGATGGGAGTGTCATTTTCTACTGGGTAGTTCCTTGATTAGAGTACAGGTAGCCCTTGATTTATGACCAGACTTGAGGCCCAAATTTGTGTTGCTAAGCAAGACAATTGTTAAGTTAGTTTTGCCCCATTTTATGACCTTTCTTGCTACAGTGAATCTGGCTTCCCCATTGACTTTGCTTGTGAGAAAGTTGCAAAAAGTGATCACATGACCCCAGGACCCTACAACTGACATAATTACATACCAGTTGCCAAGCATCTGAATTTTGATCACGTGACCATGGGGATGGTCACACTTACAATAGTTGTAAGTGTGAATAACAGCCAGAAGTCACTTTTTTTGTGTGTGATGTTATAATTTTTCATGCTCACTAAATGAATGGTTGTAAATTGAGGACTATCTGCATTGTTTACTGCTTGTTGTCCCTGCTTACATGACTGTTGACTGCTGCCAAGGCAGTGTTCTGGTGTTTTTGTTTCCTTTTTAAGGTTTTTTTATGATCTCTTTTGAATGGTGTATAAATGGGGTTTATCTCCATCTATCTGTTGATAGCTGGTTTATCTGAATGCCAAGTTTCCGGGAATTCCCCAGTGCTTTTGGATAGAGCTTGGTCTACGAAGCTCAGTTTCCAAGTTGAAACTATGGTTAAATTTATCTACGTGTTGTGAAATTAAGTAGTTTTCACTTGTCTTATCACTGTTTGATGTTCTGCTAGCTTTTTGCCTGTTGGTCCTACACAATGACTGTTACAGTCCTTACATTGTGTGTTGTACAATGATTAGGCAGTTGTTTACTACTAGATTGGTTTGTTGGTTGTTTATTTGATTAAGGATAAGACTGCCATACATCAAAGGCATCTCAGAAACAGCTAACAGAAGAAACAACACGCCCATCAACACTGGCAGGGCAAGCTACTATACAGTATATAAACAGAGAGCAAACCCCACTCCCTTCTAGCACTGAAGATGTTACCTAGTTTGGTAATGAAACATCTACAAGCAAACAACCAAACTTAGAAAGCATCTAAGACTCCATAGTTCAATCCTGAGCCACATACATTCTCATCTATTGATATTGTGACAGGAGGTAGAACAGGAAATCATTGGAAACCACTATCAAATGTGAATTAACTACCTTTTCTCCCTTCAGGAAATATTTTACATTTTTATGGGCTTTTAGATATGACTGCTCTTAAATACATTCCTGATTCCTGCAATGTTTTGATGCAGTCATTTGTTTCATATATTTGTTTTAAATGAATTGATTGGCTGTGCATTTGCTTTTTATTTACAATTTTAAAATCAATGATAAATCAATTAGTATAACCTAGTAAAAAAGCAGTATGGAAATTATTTGTCACTATTTGGGCCATGATGTAAAACATTTGGGACTACATCATGAATTTTCATTTGGTGAAGGGATTTTTTTTCCCTTTTTTTTAAGAGGGCAATTTTAGAGTTTATAATTCAAGTTTTGTGTGTGCACTGGTTTGAAATGGCAGAAAACTATAATGTCAACTTTGGACAGTTGTACCCTGAAATCAAATGAGTTTCTGAGGAGCACAAGAAGGGAGCTAAACTTCTACAGACTGAGTTAACTCACCTTTATTTTAGAAGAAAGAGTTCTGATTTAAACTAAAATATAATTGGAGAGATTAGTAAAACATAGAATCATTAAGAAATCCCAAATTCTCCTGGGGAATCTCAGCAGAGTGACAGAGAGATCATTCCTGAAAGCTCCCCCCATTCGTTGAAAATATCATCCTTAGTTTTCATTTTCATTTTCTTTTGCTTGTGTGTCACAGTTGAATGTCATAAAACGCTGGCATATAAAATAAGAGGAAACTCAATGGATGCTAATCTTGCTGTTGTGGAATAATAAGGATTTCATTAAGACTTGATAAAGGGAAGCCAAGGCGAATCCTTGGAGGCCACCATGTAATTATCTAGCTGCAACTTTCTTCTGGTGCACATTGCTCAGAATGTGAATTAAACAACCATGAGCATTGTTTTAAACCCATCTTGCTTTTATGCTATGCATGCATTTAAAAAGGATTAAATGGTAAGAAAATAACCTACCTTATATAGCGCAGAGGTCGAAGCAGATCCAACTGCATATGCAACACCAATAATTGAATCGCCATGGAAACCATCTGCATAGGCCATCATAACAATTCCAGTGATGGCCATTATTGCGGCAACTATCTGTTCAATCCAAAAGGAAAGACATGTAGAAGGACTTTATTATCTGGAAAGAACCATGGATAAGATGAGCGTTGCGTGTGAGAGATATTAAAATGACTTGAGGACATGGAAGGGGAACATAACACTACAACAGTCATGGAGGTTATGTACCTCCCAGAGAGGGACTGTACAGCAACCTTGTTCTCTTTTCTTGAAAATCAAAAGGATTATTTCTTAGGTCACTTTAGACTGAAGCCCATTCAGGCAGAATTGCTTCAAGATCAGATTAGTTTGTTTCACAGGTTGACAGCCATAAACTTAACTTGGTCACTGTTGTGTAGTCAGAGAAATTATAGCTCTAGGGAGTAAGATTCAAAACACGAAACCGGCAGGTTCATTCATCAGCGAAATGCAACAGTGGAATAATCTTCAGCTTGTTTCTCGTGATGAGTACAAGCGCACTGTAAAAAGTACCAAATTCCAATGATTCTAGTGCTATGTTAAATGACTTTTCCCCAGTCTGGTGCCTCCTAATACTTTGGGGCAGCTTTTCTCAACCTTGGCAACTTTAGGATGTATGGATTTCAACTCCCACAATTCCCCAGCCATTATTGCTGGCTGGGGGAATTGTGGGAGTTGAAGTCCACACCAGTGGTGGGTTGCTCCCAGTTCGGTCCAGTTCTCTAGAACCGGTAGTAAAACTGGCGGGAGGCTCCAGCCACCCGGCACGACATCATCATGGGTGATCTGTGCATGCACAGAAGCTTCTGCGCATGCACAGAAGCGCTCCCGTTGCGAACTGGTAGTAAAGGTAAGTAGAACCCATCCCTGGTCCACACATCTTAAAGTTGCTAAGGTTGAGAAACACTCCTAGAATTCTGAACAGGCACAGCCATTATCTGTGTAGGCTGAGAATTCTGGGATTTGTCATCTGGTGAAATGTTCATGTTGGGAAAGCCTGCATGAAACCACAATTTAATGGTATACGAGTAACCAAACATCAGCTAATTGTGCCACTGGTGATGTTACCATTTGGATAATGCAACATCTGCAAGCAAATAACCAAACTCAGAGAGCATCAAGAACTCCACAGCCAATTCTATTTCCCCAACTCAATGTGTTTATATCACTGAGCCGTGGTGGTGCAGTGGTTAGAATGCAGTATTGGAGGCTAACTCTGCCCACTGCCAGGAGTTCAATCCTGACTGGCTCGAGGTTGACTCAGCTTTCCCTCCTTCTGAGGTAAAATGGTAAAATGAGGACTCAGATTGTTGGGGGCAATATGCTGACTCTGTAAACCACTTAGAGAGGGCTGTAAAGCATTATGAAGCAGGATATAAGTGCTATTGCTATTGCTATCATGCAGGGACCCTACAGCACACTGAAGGATGCTAAAATGAATTTGGGTAATTTGCACTGTATACAGTAGTTCAGTATGTGATGAGGACTGAGTTACAATCTTAGCATGTTATGCAATTCTCAGACATAGCATATTTATGTGAATGAAGCAACTGTACTCTATTAACCCAGTTTTAGAATTCAATATATTCTGTGAAGTCACCCAAAGAGTACTGACCAGTTGGTCAAGTTCAATATAATAGTGCTCTGTGTCATTAATTCAAATGCTCACACTCAATTAAACCCAGTAGTGATGTCAATGAAGCTTGCCTAAATTACTGCAGAGAACTGAAATGGCAGTCTGTCCCTACTTCCCTTTACTGATCCATGCTCTTACTATCTGTCATCATTTTATTTCTGGCAGAAACCCACAAGGGGGAAAAAAATCATAAGGAAGGTTTTTTAAAAAATCTCTAGAAAACCTCACTTGCCACTTTTATTCTCTCTATCTATCTGTCTCTCTGTCTCTCTCTCTCTCTCTCTTTCTCACACATATATTTTCTCCCAGCTTCTATTTCATAAAATTTTGCTGCATACTGCTTGATACAATGTCTCTGTAATCTCAAACGTAATACTTTAATACCCCAATTTGGTGTCAAACACTGATCCTATCACCTAGGAAATGTTTGGGAATGAAGATATTAGAGCTGTTGGTGCCATTTACCTGCATTTTATCTATCAAATCTATCAGGCACACTTAAATCTTTTTTCGGCTTTACATAAACCTTTGTATTCTGTACAATAGATCACATTTTGGAGATATTGAAGGATGTATGAAAACACCTTATGAATTGAGAACCAAATATTATTTTCAGTCTTTAAAAGATTTAGCTTTAGATACTTGCACACAAACGATCCCTATTACACACCAGCACTAAAATAAGCTTTAAGAATGGCTATGTATTTTACCTCCTAACACTAGTTATTAAAATTTATACATCAAATTAGAGTTTGTCTCTACTAATTAATTAACTGCAGGTTTTGTTGATTAATCCACGGATGAAACCAATTCAAGCTTGTCCAATTTACTTTTCTCTTTAATGAACACTCCTATGAATTAGATGAAGGAGATATGGAAATGTAAGGTTTGCACCATGAACTGAAGGAACGTATTTCATACGCAGAAGGAACATATTTTCTTGAATTCTAATAAAAATGATGGAGCGGGGATGAAAGCAGATCCTTTAAGTTTGACTCTCTTCTTCCACAAGCGGATTTCCCTCATGCAAAACATGGAATAGATTAGGTTAATAATCCAAACTACAGAGTGTCACACCTAAAGGGCAAGTGAAAAAGATGTAGCAAGTTCGTGAAAGCTGCTACATGTCGGGTGAGTTAAGAAATGGAACTAAAACAGTCAGAAATAACTCATTTCAGTGGAGCCAGGGGTGAAATCTAAAATTTGTTACTACCGGTTCTGTGGGCGTGGCTTGGGGGGTAATGTGATTGGGTGGGCGTGGCCAACTTTTTTAAAAAAACTTTTAAACGCATTTTTTCTACAACCTCTTCGGCTGAAGAGGTTGCAGAAAAAAATGCTTTTAGAAGCCTCTGAAGATCAGGCAACTCAGCTGGGATCGCCAGAGGCTTTTAAGGCATTTTTTTCCTATAACCTCTTCAGCCAAAGAGGTTGTTTAAAAAATGCTTTTAAAAGCCTCTGATGATCCCTGCTGAGTTGCGCGATCATCAGTGGCTTTTTTTTTACTTTTAAAAGCATTTTTTCACCTGAAGAGGTTGTAGAAAAAATGCTTTTAAAAGTAAAAAAAACAGCCTCTGATGATCGTACAGCTCAGCTGGGATCGCCAGAGCTTTTAAGGCATTTTTTTTCTATAACCTCTTCGGCCAAAGAGGTTGTTTAAAAAATGCTTTTAAAAGCCTCTGATGATCCCTGCTGAGCCACGTGATCATCAGAGGCTTTTTTTTAACTTTTAAAAGCATTTTTTCAGCTGAAGAGGTTGTAGAAAAAATGCTTTTAAAAGTAAAAAAACCAGCCTCTGATGATCGCGCGGCTCAGCTGGGCATGGGGTTGTGTGTGCAGGGATTTTTGCTACCGGTTCTCCGAACCACCCACCGCCATCGCTACCGGATCGGGCGATCCGGTCCGAGCCAGGAGCATTTCACCCCTGAGTGGAGCCCAACAAATTTAAGCTGTTGTTTTCAATTTAAAAAATCCTTGCTGCTACTGTCACCATCCTGGTAAATCATGTTCCATGAACCTTGAAGCATTTTTGTGCCCTACAAATGCTTCAACTCTGAGGAATGCAAAACATGTTACTATCAATGTCAAGTTACAAGTTCTTGTGTAGGAACTTTGGTCTCGATGCTTAGTTTATAATTCCCTACCTAGCTAGTTTCCGGATGGAAATCCATCCAACAGATTGGCAGGTTTATTTTGGAAAGTCCTTTGAGTACATCTTGCAGGCACTTTCCTGAAAATGGCAAGCACTGCCCTTGGTTTGTAATTCATTGTGATGTGGGATATACAAAATGGTAGCCGAGGCAAGGGTTGTCTTCATATAGAAAATTGCCTCTTCAGTTGCTTTTACATGTGAGGAAGTTGAGGGCAACTTTCTCATTTTGAAAATGTGCCAGCTTTGCTGGCTGAGGAACTCTGGGAGTTGAAGTCCACAAGTCTTAGAGTTGCCAAGGTTGGAGACCCCTGATTTAATTGATATTTTGCACATACATCCCTAAGCACCTCCCCTTTTTTTATATGTGTGCCTAAGTAATTGCTGACTTCTGTCGACTGTCTGTTCTAGTCTCTGCAGTTTTCTTGGCAAGATTTTTCGGAAGTGGTTTGCCATTGCCCCCTTGCTAGGACTGAGAGAAAGTATCTGACCCCTTCCAGCTGGGTTCATGCATAAGGTGAGGTTTGTAGTCCAGTAGCTACAAACTGTAGCCTTAACCACTATACCAAACTCTCTTGTCTGTCCCTAATTGCCCAGAAATCTATTAATGGAAGTAACATAGGTATACATTTATTTATTTATTCATTTATTTATATCCTACCATTATTATTTTCACAAACAACTAAAGGCGGCAAACCTATCCAATACACCTTCCTCCTCCTATTTTCCCCATAACAACAACCACCCTGTGAAGTGAGTTGGGCTGACAGAGAGTGATGTCTTTCGTGGCTAAAGTAGGACTTGAACTCATAGTCTCTGGCTTTTTAGCCTGGTGCTATATCCACTAAACCAAACTGCCTCCCTTATTAATGATTAATAAAATAATAATGATTGTAATTACAGTTTTGAACAATGTCCAGGAGAGATCACCAGTACTATACTGTATGGATCTATTTGGGACTACTATGTGCTCAAATCATTAACCAGGAGCTTTGAGATGGGAGAAGTCTGAGAAAGTGAGTAGCTAATTTTTAAGTGACTCAGCCTGGCAGGAAGTTCATAGCTCGGAGCTTTTGCTTTGCATATGAAAAATCTTAGCTTAGCCCTGGGGTATCCAGATAAAATGGTAAAATCCAGTTAGCCCTGGGGATCCATTGATTAAATACTAAATTTGTCAAGATCAGATTCTTAGTCTTTAACTGAGAATGCCCATCAATGCAAAAGGCTTTCCATCAATTTGATCAGATTCTGCCTCCAAATAATAAATGGATTTCTAGAGAATTATGTAACAGCCCAATAACAAACAAATTCTACTGATATCAACACGCACAACAAATATTTGGAGGACGCATCCTGTTTTGTTTTAATCAATAGCTTCAATTAAAGATTTGCTTTGGCACTGATTTGGAGTTTGTTAGAATTTATTCCCCATCTCACTGGATATTATTATTCAATATGATTCAATTGCTGAAATAAGTCTAGCAAAAATGATGGTCCATGCAGACAAGATTAATACAATTGGCAACAGCAGCTTTGTATTCAGACACTGAAAAGTAAAGATGCCCTGAACATGAACTCAACTCCTGATCACTGCATCCATGCAGTGTTACCAAAGTGATTTCCAACTGATTTCCCAGTCTAGAAAATAGACCTGGAATTCCCAGGCAATAACCAGGGCCAACCTGCCTTAGCTTTTGAAATCAATCAAAAGTGATTAACTGCTGACTTTTAATCATATATTATGATACTTAAAGAGAATATTGGATAGGACTCTCCAAAAGTGGGCATTTTATTTTCATGCTATGCTTGGGAAAGCAAGAACATGACCCTCTTATAGGTCTGCAGCTGCAATTTTATTTGGCATATTTAAAGGCCAGTCTTTTCTCAACGAAATATGAGCCCCTCTTTCCAATGTCTTCCTGATATCAGTAAGCATTTATAATAATGTAATTCCTTGACTTGGCTTGCTGGTGTTACTTCATTTATTTATGTTTATTTTAGAAGGTACCATATATGCCGATAACAAAATAACCGAGTTGGAAGGGACCTTGGAGGTCTTCTAGTCTAACCCTCTGCTCAAGCTGGAGATATTATACCATTTCAGACAAATGGTTGTCCAATCTCTTTTAAAAACCTCCAGTGTTGGAGCACCCACTTCTGGAGGCAAGTTGTTCCACTGATTAATTGTTCTAACCGTCAGGACATTTCTCCTTAATTCTAGGTTGCATCTCTCCTTGATAAGTTTCATTGCTTCTTCTCCTGCCTTCAGGTGCTTTGGAGAATAGGTTGACCTCCTCTTCTTTGTGGCAACCCCTTAGATATTGGAATACTGCTATGATGTCACCCTTAGTCCTAGGGGTGACATTAAACTAGACATGCCCAATTCCTGCAACCGTTCTTCATATGTTTTAGCCTCCAGTTCCCTAATCATCTTTGTTAAACATTCCACTCACCAAGATTAATTTCCTCTAAGCCCTTTCAGCCAAGTCTTCTTTAAAATGCACCTTTATTTTAATTTCTGCTGGAGAATTCAGCTGAAGAGATTTTGCAGAGGGAAAGTGCTTTTCCTTCAAGTGAATTTAGTGGATAAGAATCTTTCCCTCTCACCCATCCTGACATTCTTAATATAGTGACCTAGAGAGCCAGTTATCATAATTTATAAATTATGATTTATAAAGAGCATTATAATGCTCTTGTTTGCCAGTTAAAGATACAAAGAGTCCGTTCGATCTAGTGGTTAAAGTACCAGGCTAGAAACCAGGAGACTACGAATTCTAGTTCAGCCTTAGGAATGAAAGTTAGCTGGGTGATTTTGGGCCAGTCATTCTCAACACAACCAACCTCATAGGGTTGGTACGGTGGGGAAAACAAGAGGAGAAAGGAATATTAGGTATGTTCATCACCTTTAATTATTTATTTTTAAAAAATCTTTTAAAAATGTAATCTAGTTGAAATTCCAACTATTTCTCCAGATTGTGGTAAAGCCAGCTGCCTAAATTCCATCGCACGGTAGTAGGAACCAGGATGGAGTTTGCAAACAAAGAAAAGAATAAGCTGCCATTCTTAATCACTTTCATTCAATTCTATGAAATATAAGTAAACAGACTGACATCTGGGATGCAGATGAAAGAGGGCAAAGCTTGCCTTGTCTCTGAGATTAGAAGCAAAGAACTAATCTATTTCCCACCAGAACAGTATTGCAAATCCACTCTTTTCTTTGTTTCAGATAAGTGAATGGGATTGCTGCTCTTATGGGAAAAGTAAAATGCTATGTTTGGGAATGCAAGCTGAAAAGTAGTTTTTAAATTTGGAGCTTAATTAAAAACAAAAAAAAAATTAAGCACCGTTATTCTACATCCTCCTATTATATTGGCAAAGAATAAGAATATGAGATTATACGAGACTTAATGTTTCACCATAAGTCTTCTATAATAATGTCTCCTGCATGCATTCCAAAACAAGACACTGTATGGAATTATGCATTAATTCTTAATGGATTAATTGTTTATGGCTGTATTTCACTATCACCATCTGAGGGCAGCATTCAAGAGAACAGAAAACTGGGAAACAGTCATATGAAAAGGTAACCTCATAATGACAGTCTACTGGACACGAACACAAGAGAATCTTGTAGCCACTTCCAAATTCTTCATTGCCCGGAACCATTTCTGCTAATCCAGTAATCCCCTCCCATTTATAGTACTCACTGGACACTTACCGTATTTTTCAGAGTATAAGACGCACTTCCCTCCCCAAAAGAGGATGAAAATGTAGGTGTGTCTTATACACTGAATGTAGCCCCACCCACCCACTGGCCCCCACCCTTTGGCCTCTGCCTCCCAGCAATTTACCTCCTTGCAGCAAACAGAAAACAGCCTGTTTCATTTTCAGCACAGCCTGATTAGCACAAGCAGTTGATTGTCAGTTGGACTGGCCTCCCGACCCTCAGCTGTTTCAGGCTGCAGGGATTGCCATTGCCTATTGCCGTGTTGTTTGCTGCAAGGAGACAAATTGCTGAGAGGCTGATTTTTTTTTCTTGTGCTAATCAGGCTGTGCTGAAAATGAAACTAAAGCAGGCTGTTTGCTATTTGCTGCAAGGAGGCAAATTGCTGGGAGGCAGAGGCAGGGGTTTTTTCCCTTGTTTTCCTCCCCAAAAAAGGTAGGTGCATCTTATAGTCCAGAGCATCGTATACTCTGAAAAATAAGGTAACCAAAAAATGGATAAACCCGACATGCGTTTTTTGGAGCATAACAGTTGTCTTAGAATTTCAAAGTATGGGCAATGGAAACCATCATTAACAAAAGCTGTCTAGGCCATTACCCTGACACCCATGAACCTGTCTTTCAGGACAATCCACGAGAGCAGGAAGACAAAGGCTTTGTTACAACAGAACAAGGCTGAGACGTCCGTGGCGGTCAGCTTCTTCAGAGCCAGCAGGTATAGGTAGTTAGTCAAAGTCCACAAAATAGAAAAGGGAGCGGTTCTTTTAAGAAAGAGTTTCAGCGTCAGACCATCTTCGCCAAAGATCCGACTACATTCCCTAGAAAAATAAAAATAAAAAAGATTCCTCATTTAGGGGGTACAAATCTCCTCCCAATTTTGCCATTTCACAGCAGCATAATTTTACGTTTTTTATCTTGTTCTTCAGCCATGCTTCAGAATGGCTGACCAATTATTTTAAATCATGATGATATGCTCACATGTTTTAATACAATGGCAGGTAGATTCTTAGCTGATTCCCTACTTAATCCTAGTTAAAATATTTCATGGAATTTATTATTAGTTGTAAAAAATCAAATTCAGCACTACTAAGTAGCATTAAGTAGCTACAATCCTTCAAAGTACCTGATGAAGAATAATCTCTCTGTCATCTGCTATTTTTATACAAGAACACCAGTCCCTGGACTAGAGAGGTTATGCATGCAAGTGTTATTTCATAACTGAACAATGGTCCCGCTCTTCCTTCAGAGTTTTGGTTTCCAGATGCCAGAATAAGAAAAAGGCTAAAACTTGCAGTCTGTCAGACCTGCCAGAACTTAAACCTCTAAATTGAAATGATCCTTGGCGCCACTTGTTGAGAAAGATATAGTTTATTAGAGATCAAGTGTATTGCAGTATTGGAAAGCCAGAACTGTGAATTACATGCCAGAAGTTCTACTTTTCCCTCCCTTAACTATCTCTCGTTGACCACCCCAATGAAACCAATCAGGTTCAAGCAAGATGTTTTCATAACAGTCAGTCCAAGCACATTTTGGTATGTGGCTCTCTCCTTCTTCCAGCTGGGTCACCTTGAGGCAGCATCTCAAGGAGATACAGCACTTACTTTCATTTTCCCCCTTCATTCCCCCCGCCTCCACAGTTCATGACAGGCTCTCACCACATAGCAGCAAAGCATAAGCAAGCATAAAATGGCAACTGACATAGTCTCTAATGTACATACGAACATATTTTTTTTCAAAAAAAATAATAATAATTGTGTTCATCAAATAATATAAAACATCTAAACATCTAAATGTTGGACTTTCTTTTGGATTCCTATTCCATTTTTTTTTTGGTAACATTTTATTTCATAAAGAGTTCTGGAAAATTCTCTCAGTCAGACATATATTGGGGTTCTTAAATACATTCTAAAAAATAAAAAATAAAAAGGAAAATTTATTAGATATGTACAAGAAAGAAAAAATGAGAACACTTTTTGAAGAACTGTTCTTTGAACAAGTTGACATGGCTATAAAACTTTTCCCCAATCACTTTTTTTCCCCCTTGAATGAAGAAAAGATGTCAAAGTCTTTTAAGTGACAAGACTGAAGTCTAACCAAATAGGAAAGACTACTAGAAACCTACCTGAATTTTTTGATTGGAGACTGCTTTTCCTGGGCAGTTGCAAGATGTCCAGAATAATAAACGGGAAAAAACATAATATTCCAATTTGTAGAAAACCAAGTCATGAAAAATGGATAATCAAAGTTCTTGTACGTGATTTTGACAATCTGTGTTGTTCCAATGCAAGAAGATGAGACTGACAAAATAATTAGAAATCCCCAGAGGATCTTGAGAAATGTAGATGTACAAGACTCACAACGGGTCTGTGGATGGCTGTCCTGGCTGCTGTTTTCAGCTTGCGTTTGAGTCCCTTCTTCTCCTACAAACAGAGGCAATGAAGATAATTAAAGAAATGAATAACAGTGCATTGTCCTGGTTAATGAAAAAGGAGGAATCACAAGAAACCATGACATTTCAAAGTACTGTTAACATCCAGACAAAATGCATTGTTCGTGTTGCCAAAAACAGTGGCTTCTGTTTGTATGAGTTTGGGGAGCTTTTGTTTTAGCACAACTGAAAGATGCCAAGATGGGAAATGCTGGCCAAGAAGATTTCAAGAAGAGAAGGAATTAGGTGATCTTGTAAATGCTGGTAGACTAGAAGAGCATCAGTTATGGGATTTTCATATCACTAGTATCTGAGCAATCTTCATACAAGTTTTCTATATTATGCACTTTCACAAAAGAGGGACAGAACTGATATAAATCTTTCTTGGGGTGGAGAGGGAGAACTACATACCTTGAATGCATCTTTTTGACATCACAGTTTGCAGCAACTATTTCTCTGCTCCCATCTATGAAGTCAATTCTTATATTTAGTGGGCCCTTAAATAAAACACCCTATGCTGATGTCCATCTTTCCTGATTAAGATATATATTAGCGGCACAGTGGTTAGAATGCACTATTGCAGGCTAATTCTGCCAACTGCCAGCAGTTCAACTCTAACCAGCTCAAGCTTGACTCAGCCTTCCAGTCTTCCAAGGTGGATAAACTTGCCATACTCAGCACCTCACATTGGGTTGCCTTTTCAATAATACTCTTCCTTACAATTGCAAAAAGGATACTGCATGACAAGTAGAAGCAAAGAAGGGAATAGCAAACCAAGGAGAAAGGTCAGTAGCTGATGAGGCTATTCCGATTTTAAGAAGGTATAGTAGGACAGTTTCAGCTTCAGATGGGTTGGAAGTGGCCATGCTAGCTGTGAATGCTAAAAGTTGCAATTCCAATATTTCTAGAGGATGCCAGGCTGGGGATGTCTATTTTATATACTTACCGGTAGCTAAAAAAAATGTGCAGAGGATATCAACTGAGCAAATTAACAGAATTAGTAAAATAGAACTTTCTATTGCAATAGATGGAGTATCAGATCTGACCCTATCATGAAGTACAACAAAGCAGATGCTTTTGATGGAGAGTGCAGGAGGAGAAGCAAAGTGGGTCAAGGTCCCATTGGTTGATCTTGCAACCACTGCCCAAAGCAGCCATTTCTCTTGGATGGTTGGCCTCCCAGTTGGCTATCCAGTATCTGCTGCTCTAAAGAGATTCTCAATGTAGAGAATTATGAATGGGTAGCATTTTCCTGGACAAGAAGTATTATCCACCAACATCAGGTGATGCCATCTCAGAAGAATGTATATGGCTAAGGAGACCAAATGGCTGGGGAGGGATGCTAGAGGGGGAATATATGGGACAACTGATAGGAGTTAGATCTTTCCGCTATGAGATAGATCTTTCCATTATGAGTTAGAGTCAGATCTTTCCACTGAGTTAGAACTTTCCACTTTGATGTAAAGCCCTTTCCCCAGATAATCAGCTGTAGCCATGGAAACCAGCCCTTTAATGACCAGTATAATTTATAAAGTGGAGGAGCTGCTCAACATTTGTTGCATATTGAGATCTACCTGCAAAGGTATCATCTGAACAGGGCTTAGAGCTCCTGGAAATCACCTATACAATTATTACTACTACTGTGGCAACCTTTCTAGGTAAATTGTTTTGTCCAACCATGATGATATACAACTAATAAATTCTTACTGAAAGCCAGAAGTATTAGAGATTGCTACAAATAAATTAATTAGGAACAATTTAACTACAAAGGAATTTTGTATCTGTAAACCTTGTATAAACAGTAGAATAGCAATCCCATTAGATCCAGCAGGAGAAGCATTCTCTGTGTCCCATCTGCAAGAGAATGACATTGGCAGGACCCAGGAGGAGGGCCTTTTCTGCCCTGGCACCTGCCCTTTGGTACATCATCCTCTCTGAGATCAGAGTCCCCCCAACACTACTGGCCTTCTCCAACTCATTAAAAACTTGGCTTTGTCATAAGCTTAGGGCTCTGTTATTGTGGTGAGCCCGTTTCTTGGCTATATTAAATGTGACATGTTGAGAGTGTTCCTGGCTGCTATTTTTATGTTGTGTTTTTAATTCTGTTTTTGTCCTCTCGGTTTCCCAGAGTCATGCTTATGCGATGGGCAGCCATATACATTTAATAAATAAATAATCAACTGGTACATAGAGAAAGGGAAAGATTTCTTCCATCAGAAAAAACTTTGGTGCCAGCAAAAACTGAAATTTAGATTCATTTTCTTCTCATAGCTCACGGCAAATTATTTGCTTTCTGATCATTCCACAAAGCAAAGGATTAATTTATCAGACATTAAATTTTCTAAATTAAAATATTGACTATTTTCATGGGGACCCTCCTCCTTGTCTGGTTCTGAGCTATCCCAAATATGGGAAACATAATTCCATTTCCCAGCTGTCTTGACTTCCTTTAGGCTGAAAACTTATTAAGGTCTTTATGATCTCTCTATTTTTAGAGTATTGCTTTTCTTTTTCCCTATCTTCCTTGACTAATTGGATTTGTTTTGTTATCTTGATCATCAACTTCTTCACTCCAGTCTAATGAATTTATGGTTCTGTGCATGCACAAAAAGGTCCTAAACAGCTACTTGACTGGCTGACTTATTAAAAGAATGAGAAACGATTTAGTTTTCTCCAATTGTTAAGAATTGGATTAGGATTGGTTGCAATAATTGGTTTACAAAGGAACATTTCAAAACATGAATGTTTTTCCCGGTGAGACCGATCTATCAGGGCAACCTGGTCTATCCAATTATGGGACGGAGCATACTGCTTCCATTTTTGCCTTTCAGCCCCAATCCAGGGGCCTTCACAGGCAGTCACTTTTGCGACAAACTATGTTGTGTTGAATTAATGTTTACCGACAAAGAAATAAAGGGAGACTAGTATAGATCTATTTCAAGCTTTTTAGCTCTCATCAGCTAGCCATACCCTTAACCTCTAAATAGCTTGAAATAGATCTATACTAGTCTCCCTTTATTTCTTTGTCGGTAAACAAAAATTCAACACAAAAATAGTTTGTCACAAAAGCGACTGCCTGCGAAGGCTCCTGGATTGGGGCTGAAAGGCGAAAGTGGAAGCAGTATGATCCGTCCCATAATTGGGTAGACCAGATTGCTCTGATAGACCGGTCTCACCAGAAAAAACACTTAATCTCTCCCCTGGTATAGCTGCAAAGCGAGGAGAGCCCGTGGCTTAGAGGTTAATATATCTACCTAATATACAAGTAGCCCAGGTCCAAATCCCAGAAGGGTATGGCTAACTGATGAGAGCTAAATACCTTGAAATAGATCTATACTAGTCTCCCTTTATTTCTTTGTCAGTAAACATAAATTCAATTTATTCCCCAACCTTTATGTTGGGGGCTGGTTCCTGCATGCTGCTCCTACTTCTATTACAACTACACATACAAATCAACTGTGCAATAGAACCTGTACAGAGAGTGCACTGTTGCACCTTGGAAAGTCGATGGTGCAAACTTTGTATGCAGAAGATCCAGGGTTCAGCTCCAAGGAGGTCTGCTGAAAAACAATCTAGTAGAAGTGTTGTGGAAATCCACTGTCCATCTATCTGAGATCCTCAATGCCCATAAGAGAAAACAGTAATTGTCAGTATGCAACCCTCTGTTACTGGAAAGGAAAGCAACTTGGTTTTTTTTCTGGTTTTTTTTACAAAATATAAATCTGAATGCAAAATATCATTTGCCTCCCCACCCCCAAACGATAGAGGATGCAACCGGAGGTGGAGAGATGTTCTGCCCCAGCTATGGACCCCAAAGAACGCAGCACACACAAAGCCCGTACAAACCTTAATTTACTAATTAAAGACTAGTAATGAGCTTAGTTGTTCGAACACAAGTACAATAAATCAGTCTTTTCTGAACAAGGGCTGTTAATTTAACTTCATTAACAGCCGACAAGAATTCAAAGAATAATAACTCAGTTCTGAGGCACAGTATTTCAGATAACCATAATCTTACTGTGGTTGGCAGAATGCCCAGAAGCAATTTGCAGGAAAACTGATAAGAGAGAAACAAGAGCCAAATCCAACATTTTCTGGGATCTAGATATGAAGGAATTTGAACGAAGCTGTTTCCTGCAAATTGCATCAGTCATCGTCCTTCCTTAAATAGGCTAGGGCCAATTAGCCCCAAGCCTTACTCTCGAGGAGGCCTCCTCCTGAGGAGTCACTCCTGACTTTTTGCAGTTCTGCACTTCATGCATCGAGAAGAGGCTCCTCCTCTTCTTCCTCTTCACTTAAGGGAGCTTCTGGAGGTTCTGAAGGCTCTGGCTGAATCCCCACCTCTGGCACCACATCTTCTTCAGCCTCCTCATTGTCCAACTCGAGTGCCAACTGCACAGGCTGCTGGCGCAGCACCACACCAGCCTCCTCGCTGTTGGAATCAGCTACTAACTGCACAGGCCGCTGACGGGCCACAAAAAAAGAGCTCCGCCCCTTTTGTATGTGATATCACACAAATGCACATATAGAAGGGGCAGCATGTGGGGAACACATTCAAGAGTTGCTTTGGGCAGCTTATAAATTAAATAAACAAACAAAACAATGTTTTTTGTCAATTTGTAGGAAGCAGCGTATTATTCTAGACATTTCTACATGCAACTATCCTACTAAGCATTCCAGCACTGGCAGATGTTCAATAAATAACATTGATTATTAATTGATTATGTTTCATCAAATCGTTTTCAAATCCTAGTATCTAGATCAGGGGTGTCAAACTCAAGGCTCACAGACTGGATGCAGCCCACAGGGTGTTTAGATCTGGCCTGCAGGGCTGCCCTGGGAATAGTGAAGGACCAGCCCATGGTGCCTCTGTCAGGGAAAATGGAGCCGTGTGCAGCTCTCCTGAGCTCTGTTTTTGCTGGCAGAGTGCTTGGGCCATCACAGACGGCCCCAGCATGAGTAATGTTGAGCTGGCCATTCCAATTATGGCCATGCCCTAACCAGTGGTGGGTTGCTACCAGTTCGCTCCGGATTGGGCAAACTGGTAGCGGCGGCGGTGGGAGACTCCACCCACCCGCCTGGATGCTTCTGCGCATGCACAGAAGCATTGCATATGCGCACTCATGCGTGCGCGCACACGAGCAAACCAGTAGCAAACTAAATTGAATCCCACTACTGGCCCTAACCCCACCCGCCCCAAGGTCAAACACAACCCTGATGCAGCCCACAATGAAATCGCGTTTGACACTCCTGGTCTAGATAGACAGATAACACAATGGCTACTACATTATATCCAAATTACAATAACAATACCTTTCTACAATGTCCTCATAACAATGCCCATTTCACAATAATATATTCTTATCCAGACCTTGCAACAATTACACTGATAATTCTGACTGTCCACTGAGTAGGTTTTCAATCTGCATGGTGTATTAATAATTGAAATAAATTGATATTTTAATCTATATCATTTGGATAATAATATAACTGTATTTATCTTAATACTTTCATTGCAGCATTTTGTAAATCACCCTCATCAGATTTTTTACTTCTATAAATTGAAAGTCAGGGGGAAAAAATAATACATTTGCTTTTTTTTGTTTTTGTTTTTGGTGGCTGCTCTTAGCCAGCCAAAATAAATTCAGAGATTAGCAAAAGAGGAATCGTGAGATAAGAGAGTCACAAGGCAAAGGGGGGGAAAATCACATTTCTACAGCTTTCTCTCTGATTATTTTGTTTTTTAAGCCAAAGTCAACAACGGGGAAAGCTGTATTTGAGGGAAAAAAATCTTTCTTTCTCTGTCATACAGATTCCTGGTGATTTAAGACTGATCTTTCATCAGGATCAAAGAAAAGCCTTTTCCTCCATCCTATTCTTCCTCTTCTCATCATGACCAAGATAGATAAAATTAGTGTTCTGATGGTAGGATCAAGTTAAGGTTAGTCTGGAGGTAAAGAATAGAGTAAAGTAGGGTAGGGTAGGGTAGGGTAGGGTAGGGTAGGGTAGAGTAGAGTAGAGTAGAGTAGAGTAGAGTAGAGTAGAGTAGAGTAGAGTAGAGTAGAGTAGAGTAGAGTAGAATAGAATAGAATAAACTGACCTTGGAGGTTTTCTAGTCCAACCCACTGCTCAGGCAGGAAGTCCTATACCAGTGATGGCAAATCTTTTTGGCACCAAGTGCCAAAACTGGAACATGTGCATGTGCGTGTGCATGCCAGAACGTCAGAACCCCCAGACCGGCCAGCTGGTCTTCATGCACAGGGGAGCACTGGAAACTGGAAAAGCAGCTTCCCAGTGCGCATGCATCGGAGCACCGGAAATCAGAAGAGCAGTTCCCCCGCACGCATGTGTGCATCGGGAAGCTAAGCTTCCAGTTTCCAGTGTACGCATGTGTGCCAATCACCTGGTCTTCTGGTTTCTGGCATGCATGCGTGCACGGAGACCAGCTGGCTGGCGCGCATGTGCGCGACAGAAACTGGAAGCTCAGCTTCCCGGCGTGTGCATATGCGCCAGGGAGCTGCTCTTCTGGTTTCCAGCACTCCCGCATATACGAAAACTAGCTGGCTGGCACGCTGGAACCCAGAAGAACAATGGGCAATGGCTGGCATGCCTGGAGAGATGGCTCTGCGTGCCACTTCCAGCACGCATGCCATAGGTTCGCCATCATGGCTCTAGTCCCTGTTTTCTCTAGACTAGCCATACTCAATTCCTGCCACCATTCTCCATATGTTTTAGTCTCCAGGCCTTTAATCATCTTAGTTGCTCTTCTCTCTATTTTTTCCAAAGTCTCAAACTCTTTTTTGTAATGTAGTGACCAAAACTGGATGCAGTATTCCAGGTGTGGTCTTACTAAGGATTTATAAATCGATACTAATACTTCACGTGGTTTTGATTCTATGCCTCTGTTTATGCAAACGTTTGTATTAGCTTATTTGGCTGCTGACACCGACTGCTGGCTCATATTTAAGTGATTGTCTACTAGGACTCCAATGTCCCTCTCACGGTTACTGTTTTTGAGCCACGTTTCACCTAATCTGTACTTGTACCTTTGGTTGTTGCTTTGTTTTTGCTTAAATGTACAACCTTGCTTTTCTCCCCATTAAATTTCATTTTCATTTTTACTCAAGTCTATTGTAAGCCTACCTGATCTGTCCTTCCTCTCTCCTCTGCCGTGCCGGCAAAACCCAGAGGGACTTCGACTCTGTAGCTCTAGAATGGGAGCAGCAGATTCTTCAGCAGCGGATAAAGGGGAATGCTGCCTGCGGAGGCCAGTCTGCGTGCTGGGGCAGTTGGCTCCCGGCTTGCATCGGATGACAGAGGATCGGGAGGCACCTGAGAAGAAAGAGTTTGCATCAGTTTGGTGGGTAAACTTCCTAGAAGCAAAAGATGGGCAACTGACTCACATTTTGTTCTATCGAAACATCCTGAAGCATTAAAAGATACATGCAACTGAAAATAATATTGCTTGCTGCCTGGATGAAAGAAAATGCATTTTGTAGCAATGGAAAGCCAAAAATTATTTTTTTTCTCTTATTTATAAGTGCAGCTAAATGATTAAATTAATGGAAGAATTAGAAAAGGGTTCTCAGATGCAATAGTGTTATTTGTTTCTGTAGAAAACAACAAATTAGAGGAGCATTCCCACAAATGCACACAATTATTATATACATGACGGTCCATGCGTTACAGAGTGTTGCCCATGCACAGCTGGTAAAGAAGTATATCATCCTAACCAACTTGATTTCTTTCCACTGGGGCAGTTTAGACTCCAAGGGGATGGTCAGGTGAGGTTTCTCTGATGTATTTATAGCTGCAGTTCAGGGATGAAATGCTCCTGGTTCGGACCGGATCACCTAATCCAGAAGCGATGGAGGCGGGTGGTTCGGAGAACCAGTAGCAAAAATCTGTGCCCTCCCCCATTGCCCAGCTGAGCCATGCAATCATCAGAAGCTTTTTTTTATTTTTAAAAGCATTTTTTCTACAACTTCTTTGGCCAAAAGAATGCTTTTAAAAGAAAAAAAAGCCTCTGATGATCGCACGGTTCAGCTGGGATCATCAGAGGCTTTTAAAAGCATTTTTTCTACAATCTCTTCAGCCAAAGAGATTATAGAAAAAATGTTTTTAAAAGGAAAAAAAGCCTCTGCCGATCAGGCAAGTCAGCTGGGATCGTCAGAGGCTTTAAAAGCATTTTTGTAGAAAAAATGGTTTTAAAAGTTAAAAAAAAAAGTCAGCCACGCCCACTCAGTCATATTACCACCGCCCCACCAAGCCACGCCCACAGAACCGGTAGTAACAAATTTTACATTTCACCACTGCTGCAGTTACTCCAAGTTCATAAGTAGCCTCCCAATAAAATTTCAGGTACTTACGACCACAATTGAGCCCAAAATTTCTCTTGCTAAGTGAGACAGTGAAAGTGAAAATAAGTGAAATTTCCCTTATTTTACAAACTTTCTCGCCACCGTTGTTAAATGAATCACTGCAGTTGTTACCTTGGTAACACAGTTGTAAAGTGAATCTGGTTTCCTCCTTTCCTCATTCCTGGCTTGCCAGGTCTCAAAAAGTGATCACATGACTGTGGGACACTGTAACCATCATAAACATGAGCCAGCTGCCAAGCATCCAAGTTTGCTCACATGACCATCGGGATGCTACAACAGTCATAAATGTGATAAACGGTCGTAAGACATTTTTTTCAGTGCTGTTGTAACTTGCGAATGGTCCCTAAATGAACTGTTGTAAGTTGAGATCTACCAGTATCAGGAATCCCAAAAGTGTTTTTTCAAGAGGCAACTGGACTTTCTTGTTTTTCTTTGAAGATGTTTTGCTTCTCATCCAAGAAGCTTTTTCAGCTCTGACCGGATGGTGTGGAATGGAAGGAAGTCCAATTGCCTCTTGAAAAGGCATGTCTGGGACAACCATGGGCTGGATGATTGAGAATCTCCATAGATATTAGCAGGAATCAGCCTTAGAACACAAGACATGCAGAATGTTTTTTTGCAATATGTGAGCAATTGTGGAGGCACACACATTTAGGCAGTGGTGTAATTCGAATTTTTTTACTACCGGTTCTGTGGGCGTGGCTTGGTGGGCATGGTGTGGCTTGGTGGGCGTGGCAGGGGAAGGATACTGCAAAATCCCCATTCCCACCGCACTCCAGGGAAGGATACTGCAAAATCCCCATTCCCTCCCCACTCCTGGGGGAAGGATATTGAAAATCTCCATTCCCACCCCATTCTGGGGCCAGCCAGAGGTGGTATTTGCCGGTTCTCGAAACTACTCAAAATTTCAGTTCTCCAGAACCTGTCAGAACCTGCTGAATAGCACCCCTGCATTTAGGGTTAGGAGCAGGGATTCCATGGTAGAAGTTAGGGTTTCAGCTGTAACATCTTTAATGTGCTAACAATTGATAATTTTTTTAAATGTCTAGGCCGATATCTCAAAACCACACTGGCTTTGATCATCATCATGATCATCAATTAAATTAATGAAATACTGTGAGCCAGCATTCCGTGAGATTTAGTCTTTAACTAAATCTCAGTTTCCTGATGATGGCAATCTTGAAGATAGCATTTCCCGGTTCCACATTGTAAAACATCTCATAGAAGTCTTCTGTGATTACACTCTGAAAATGACCAGATTGTTTTCTTCTCTTGAAAAATGGAATATCTTAGAGAATTGTTACAGGATAACCTGAAAGGTCTCCGTATTTTAAGAAAGTAGCTTACATTTTCTCAATTTAACAAATATGTTTTGAGGCTGTAGCTGAAATGAATGATTAGTTCATTTGGATACGACCATCAGAATCACTTTGTACTGAAATTGAAAGCCTCATTCTATAGAAAGGTTTGTCATGTTCCAAGGCATGATGTTATAGAACCAATAGAGAGCACAGTAGTAAATAGTATATACTAGTCATATATTTGACATTTGCAAATGTTACAATTATATTGCTGGGATTTAGCTAGTCCTGCCAGGTAAAGTACAGGTGAAACTCGAAAAATTAGAATATCATGCAAAAGTTCATTTATTTCAGTAAAGCAACTTAAAAGGTGAAACTAATATATGAGATAGACTCATTACATGCAAAGCGAGATAGTTCAAGCCTTGATTTGTCATAATTTTGAGGATTATGGCTTACAGCTCATGAAAACCCCATATTCACAATCTCAGAAAATTAGAATATTACATGAAATCAATAAAACAAGGATTGTACATAGAACAATATCGGACCTCTGAAAAGTATAAGCATGCATATGTACTCAGTACTTGGTTTGGGCCCCTTTTGCATCAATTACTGCCTCAATGTGGCATGGTATGGATACTATCACCCTGTGGCACTGCTGAGGTGTTATGGAAGACCAGGATGCTTCAATAGCGGCCTTCAGCTCTTCTGCCTTGTTCAGTCTCATGTCTCTCATCTTTCTCTTGGCAATGCCCCATAGATTCTCTATGGGGTTCAGGTCAGGCGATTTTGCTGGCCAATCAAGCACAGTAATCCCATGGTCATTGAACCAGGTTTTGGTACTTTTGGCAGGGTGGGCAGGTGCCAAGTCCTGCTGGAAAATGAAGTCAGCATCCCCATAAAGCTCATCTGTGGAAGGAAGCATGAAGTGCTCCAAAATCTCCTGGTAGACGGCTGCATTGACCCTGGACTTAATGAAGCATAGTGGACCAACACCAGCAAATGACATGGCTCCCCAAATCAACACAGACTGTGAAAACTTCACACTGGACTTCAAGCATCTTGCAGTGTGTGCCTCTCCATTCTTCCTCCAGACTCTGGGTCCTTGGTTTCCAAATGAGATGCAAAAATTGCTCTCATCAGAAAAGAGGACTTTGGACCACTGAGCAACAGACCAGTTCTTTTTGTCTTTAGCCCAGGTAAGACGCTTCTGACGTTGTTTGTTGTTCAGGAGCGGCTTGACAAGAGGAATACGACATTTGAAGCCCATGTCCAGAATCCGTCTGTGTGTGGTGGCTCTTGATGCACTGACTCCAGCCTCAGTCCACTCCTTGTGAAAGTCCCCAACACTTTTGAATGGCCTTTTCCTGACAATCCTCTCCAGGCTGCGGTCATCCCTGCTGCTTGTGCACCTGTCTGGACTATTGTAATGCTCTCTACATGGGGCTCCCCTTGAGGAGCACCTGGAGGCTCCAGCTGGTCCAGAATGCAGCCGCACAAGTAATAATGGGGGCGACTCGTCGCTCCCATGTAACACCTTTCTTGCGTGAGCTGCACTGGCTCCTGGTGGTCTTCCGGGTGCATTTCAAGGTGTTGGTTACCACCTTTAAAGCGCTCCATGGCTTAGGACCTGGTTATCTACAGGACCGCATTCTGCCACCGATTGCCTCCCACCGACCAATACGCTCCCACAGAGAGGACCTCCTCAGGGTGCCGTCGGCCAAACAATGTAGGCTGGCGATCCCCAGCGGGAGAGCCTTCTCTGTGGGGGCCCCGGCCCTATGGAATGAACTGCCCCCGGAAAAACGAAGGATCCCCGACCTCCATGCCTTTCGTCATGTTCTAAAGACCCTATTATTCCAGCAAGCTGGTCTGACAGGATAAAGGATTTTAAATTGGGTTTTGATAGTGGTTTTAAAATGATTTTAGTTGGGTGTTTTAAATTCGGCCAATGATTGAATTATTTTAATTAAGTTTTTAAATTTTGCTGTATATTGTTTTTTACCATGGCTGTTCACCGCCCTGAGTCCTTCGGGAGAAGGGCGGTATTTAAATATAATAAACTAAACTAACTAAACCTTTTTCTTCCACACTTTTCCCTTCCACATAACTTTCTATTAATGTGCTTTGATACAGCGCTTTGGGAACATCCAATTTCTTTTGCAATTACCTTTTGAGGCTTTCCCTCCTTATGGAGGGTGTCAATGATGGTTTTCTGCACAACTGTCAGGTTAGCAGTCTTTCCCATGATTGTGATTCCTACTGAGCCAGACTGAGAGATGATTTAAAGGCTCAGGAACCCTTTGCAGGTGTTATGGCTTAATTAGCTGATTAGAGTGGGACACTTTGAGCCTACAATATTGAACCTTTTCACAATATTCTAATTTTCTGAGACTGTGAATTTGGGGTTTTATGTAAGCCATAATCATCAAAATTATGACAAATCAAGGCTTGAACTATCTCGCTTTGCATGTAATTAGTCTATCTCATTTATTAGTTTCACCTTTTAAGTTGCATTACTGAAATAAATGAACTTTTGCACGATATTCTAATTTTTCGAGTTTCACCAGTACTTCACTTAACTCAGTCAATTCTAACTTTTTTATGCAAATGATGAACTTGGACTAAAATCTAGTTGTATTCCCTA